TAAAATACCTTCTTCTAATCAAAATCAATCATACTTCTGAAATGATTCCTGATCTCATACATTAAGTTGAAATCAAAGGCTGTGGATCACGTTATAATATAACGAGCTTGGCTTTGTGGAAAGAGGCATAGCTTCACTCTTCCCCCATTGGTTTTATATATTTGAGGTCAAAAGCCTTCTTGCTGAGAAAAAGAGAAAAGGGCTGATAAGTGCAAGAGTGCATGTGTGCCTGCAACAGCAGTTTGGTGCAGGGAGTTCTGGAGGACAGCCAGGATGTGAGCCATGGCAGAAAATCAGGAGGAAGCTTGGCGTTCACCACATTAACCTTAGGCATCACCTGGGCAAGTCACTCATCAAGAAAACAATCTACCTCTCTTGGCCTAGGAATCTCTCTTGAGTGCTTCTAGGCTGCGAGTGTCAAATGGTTCTTTAGAGATGCTGAGCAGAAGAGGATTTTCCATTTCACCTTTTGGCCTTCCCTTCTCCCTCTTTCAATGAGGACTTGTGCTGCCTCCTGCTGGAGTGTTGTAAGGAAGATTAATTAGCTAATATCAGTTAAGGGCCTTTGATGATGACTGCTAAGTGTTTGCACCATGTAATTGCCATTTTTTCCAAGGAAATACCCATATAGTTACTAATTAGGCATTGTTGGAGCACCTCACGCCCTATTATTTTACAGTTGTCTTGTAATTAACTGGCATCAGTTCCATTTCAAATGACATTTATTGCCCATTTCCCTGGTTTAATTTTTGGAAATTTTATGGGAAGCCTGGGCATTGTTTCTTATTCACTGCAACTTGAATAATTAACAAGGTAAATATGGCTTTGGGTGGTGATATTGTCAACAACAAGAGTTCTTTAGAGATTTTAATTAAGAACACTACTGCTGTACTTTATGTGAAAGTTTATTATGGTGTCTAAGCACTCTAAGCTCTCCTCCATTGTGGATTGTGGCTCATGTCTGAGTGTTTGTGTCTGTGTGTGTGTGTGTGTGCACGCATGCTTGTGTGAATGTGTAATTTTTATGACAAATGATGTAACATGAGATATGAGAACAAAGTCCTCCTTTGGCTTACCCTTCTCAAAGGCACAAACTGGAGAAGCTGATTAATTAATTTTTTTGCCATTTTCTTGCTATAACCTACAGACTTGAATTAACTCAAATCAAACATCACTTGTTAAATACTATAGTATCAGTTATTGGACTAGATGTGTTTCATGATTTCTTTAATCTTTACAACAAGTCAGTGAGGTCTCTCACAATGACAAGATGAAGATTCAGAGAGGTTAAGTAAGATGTCCAGAGCCACATAGGTAGTAATAGATAAAGATAGAGCACAAATTCAAGTCAGCCACACACTGAAGCCTGGGCCCTTTCCGCGCTATCTCTCAAGCAAAATTACTGAGCTTTCTACTTGGAAGTGAGTCTAGGTCACTCCAAAGGCCAACTCGTGCCTTCTCCAGGAAGTCTTGAATGATCATTTATGTAAGTGCATCTTCTCACCTCTACTCTGATATTACTTTCTATTGCTTCTCATAGTTTGACTTTTATTTAAGCTGTGTGCCAGTGGGAAGGACAATATAATGTGACACTTAGAAAAGCATGGAATTTGGAGACAACTGGAATGTATTCCTTATTCTGCCTTTTCCTATCTGAGTCATTTTGGACAAAATTCAGCACAGCTTAAGATTCATGTTGTTGATGTGAAGATGAAAGGAGAGCATGTGTGGAAAGTTCTCAGAATGTGTCATGGTACATGGGAAGCACACAATATATGGTGGCTGGTTGGATGGATAAAAACAGCATAAATGAAGGAATAAATGGCAGTGACCTTTGCTTGTTTATAGGATCACCTCTTCAACATTGCACTCTGTGTCAGTTCAAAATGTAATTTTAAAAATATAAAAATGAATCTCATAAAGACTTGAGGAAGTCAAGTATATCTGACTGAGTTCCAGACTGCCCCACTGTAGTAGAAAAACCTGACTAAATCACACTAATTATAATGGTGTATACAACTTCTTAAAAATAATGGCCACTAAGACCAGAATATGTTGATTATTAATGAGCTGAAATATGGGATCTAATGTGTTGTGAGTTCCTCCAATCTATTTCAGAATGAAATAAAACAATGGAGGCCAATAGGAGACCTGGACTTGAAATCACAGGGTTCTTATCAGAATTTCAATTCCAATTCTACCATGTGTAATTATCTATGTGACCTCTATACACAATAAGCAGTAAATTTCATGGAACTACCAAGACTCCAGGAAGCTGACTCTGAATTGGAAATATATTTGTGTAAAGTTTATTGGGGGTGTTTTCTGGAGCAGCATATGTCAGGGGGTCAGAGAAGCAGGATTGGGTCATACTGGTTGCAGGTGACTTCCCAGGCATTTCTGGAGTTGGAATAACCCTTCAGGGCCGAATTGAAGAAGGAATGCCAAGACTTTGAAGCCTTGCAGACTGTCCCCAGGAGAAGGGTGTAGCATTAGACACAGGAGCTCTCTTTGGCCAAGAGAGGACATTTCCTGAGAAGAAACATGGCTGTGAGATATCAACAACCCATAATTCCAGCAGCCGTGGGCATGAGTTTCTCAGTTCTGGAATCTGAGTGCAGCACCACAGCATCCACTACAGTAGTGAAAGAAGCATTGGAACCCAGGAAACCTGACCCCTCATGACTTCATTGTAATTTCTTTCCTTGAAACTCAATGACTATTATCATTTTCACTTCACAGTTCAAAATATAGAACCTCAGAGTTAAGTAACTTACCTAACATGCCAGAGATTGTAGGTACCATGATATACCACTAAAGTCCATGCACATTCCCTAGGACCATACATCTGCCTACTTTGATAGCAAATGAAAAGTCACTCAATAGATTGCTAAATTGTTCAGCATTTAATCATTTGCTAAATCTCAGAAGATGCAAGGGGATTATGTGTGTATGTACTGGCACGCAATGCTTTAGAACAGGCAGATAGATATTAGCTGCTTCCCCCTGGAGGGTGGAAACACTCAAGACTTCAGAGGAGTAGCGGCAGAAAACCATTACAACACACTTCATATCAAGCAGATTTTGCGAGTCAAGTAATTGCTTGTAAACATAACACCATGCAATAAACCCAATATATATTATTTGGACTTCATAAAATAATTCCATATTATTTCTGTAAGTAATTTTTTGTATATCTCTGATGTTATGATGTACTCACTAGGGATATGGAGGTAAATGGAGCTTATAGATTGGTGATAGAGTTGTGTTGGATTTGGACTTGAATATTGCAAGAGGTTTCTGCAGATGTGGTCACCCAGAGAATATTATAAACAGACAGATAATAGTCTTAAAACTTAACCCACTCCATCATTGCAAATCTGAGATAAAAGGAGAGGAAGGAGGGAGGGGATTTACTGAAAGCAATAACTTATTTGCTCCAGCCTGGAAAATGTCCTACAACCTATGGAGCTGTACTAATGTGTGAATGGGCCTCAACATCAGTGCAAATCCCTGCAGGGTTAGTTGGTATAATCATTAGCCTACCCACTCACAGGATGCCAGCTTCTGGGCATCAGGAGCTCATGGAGGCACAGTAGCACCATGAGACTTGTCTTCAAAACAGGACTGGTCCATGCATCCACTTCTTCCTCCTCATTGACCCCATCTGCTGTGGGAAGTTAGGGCTTCACTCTGAGATTCTGTATTTTCAACTGTAAAGTGAAAATGATAATAGTCATTAAGTCTAACCATCTCCATTTTCTTAATATTTGCTCTCATTAGCCTGGGCCACCTCAGGATCTGTGTGTCTGCCTAAAGGCACAAACAGTTCTCCCAGGCCTCTCCCAACTAAAATGTGAGAGCAGAGTCCAGCAGGACACTGCATTTGCAAGTAGAATGACATGGACATGAGTCATGATTCTATCACTTTGTAACCAGTAGGCTACTCAGTTTCTCTGGAGTTTGATTTCTTCATCTGCAAAATGAGGTTGGATGAGGGATAATAACCATTCACAATTGTGAGGAGCAAATGAGATGTGTTTTTAGAAGGAATTATATAAAAGTTCCATATAAATAATGATGTTGAGCTGGAGGGCTCTGCAGATGCATTTAGTCTGGGAAGAAGAAGATAAGCCTTTACTTGGAGGACAAGGCAGAATCACAGCTGCTGAATTTGTTCTGAAATGAATACAAGATACCTTTGTGAGCCACACTGACAAATTAGTCTGCCCCACTCCTCACGTGCTGGCTGTCAACTTGTGCCCCACTGCATCCTGTTCCCCATGTTCAAATTCAATGAAGGTCAGAGCAAACAGTCACCCATTGCAATTCTAGAAATCTGTTTTCTCCTATCCATTGCACATCTCAACCCATCACATTAGAATAACACAGTCAGATGCAATTAGCCTCAGACTATTCAATTACCCAACAGGTTTCCATATGTCATTAAGCATCGTCCTTGTGAGATCACAAGGGTGCCGCACACACAGAATGGTCATTTCTTCTACTTTGCACTTTCAGCAAATAAGACTTGAAGTCAGGTTGTCATGATAGTCTTGATTTAACATATCTAATTCCAGTAATTTAGAACTTTCATTGTATCTGAAAATGCTCAGGACCCATCACTGAGTGTCTATTTTGATTTCCCTGGAGGTTGAGAGGAGATGCCTTTCCAGGCTTCTGAGAAAACACATCCTTCTTGGGCCTTCATTTTCTTGCACAGGCTATTCTTCTTGCTATCAATATGTTTCCTTCTTATCTTAATTGGCAAAATCAGAACACAAGCTTCAAATTAGCCTCATGTGGAACTCACCTGTGCGTAAAGGTTTTCCTGAAGTTTGCAAAAGCAGAGAAAGTCACAGTCATGCCCCTTGTTCAAAACCCTTCTAAGCACATCAGCTCCAATTTCCAATTCTGCAGTTATTTGTTTAACTATATCCCTTTCCTGTAGACTGTGAAGTCCTTGAAGAATGGCACTGTATTTTGTTCATCTTTTTGATTCAGAACACTTAGTGTGAAATGAGCCTGAAATTATAAATTAAATAGATGAATAAATATACATGAATATAAAAATAGATACTGTTTTCAAATGTTTATTTTCAACAGAAATATTGAACTCATTGTCTTTTTGTGAGGTGACATTCATTTTTTGAACACCATGCAAAATTATGCTGGCTATTTTCCAAGGAATAAAACAATGGAAAATTATACCATAAAGATGAGATTTCTTCACTTCCTCCTTTCTCCACTGTGGGTAAGTTTATGATTATTTTTTTTTATTTCTGCGTTAGCTATGGGCTGCTATAACATGCATAATTATTTAGTGGACTACTAGACTTAATGATAAGGTCTGTCTGATATGCAGAATGATGTCTTGGAACTGTCACAGCTGAGTTGGGAGAAAGATATAGCTCAAGATGAATGGCTGAATTCAGATTAAATCATCACTCTTTGGGCATCTACTAAAGATTGGATATGGTCCTGAAAACATGACCTACATTATCTTAATAGCCAATTGACGCTAGCACTGCCGTAGTGCAGGTGTAGAAAGGGAGGCCCACAGAAGTGATTTAATTTGCTAGAGATGACCCAGCTATTAAGCATATGCTGAGTCCAGATGTCCAGTTTCACACAGACTGGGAATGGGCTGGGATTCAGAGAGGACATGGGAGTGCTTAGCTAGTGGATGTGTCTCCAAGATAGCCAAGTCCGTGCCAACCCTGAGGTTCTGTGATCTGTGTGGCTTGGTGATGACCTCTACTGGCTAAACTTCCTGGGCTGGCAAAATGCAGTGAGGTTGGAGATGAGGGGGAAGAAGGGCAAAGGATCTAAGTTTGAGTGTTAGTCTAGTCACCTATTGGATGCATTGGGTATTTCTTGCTTAATGCCACTGTTCTGCCTATGTCCTTCCATGGCTCCCCAGTGCTCTTTGCACAGAGATCATGACTCTGTCAGTTGCTGCATGGCCTGCCTCTCCTTCCCACTCCAGCCTCAACTCATTCCATACCCTGCTCCCTGCCTTGGGGCTGGGCATACCAGGAGGCTTCAGAGCCTGTTCTCTCTTGCCTTTGCAAGTGCTGTTTATTCTGCCTAGAATTCTCTTCTCATCTCTCTTGTGCCACCTGAAATAAAGCCTTTTCATCTTTTAGCTCTCAACCCAAGCGTTTCTCAAGGCAAGCCCTTCTGCTGCCCCAGGGCCAGCTCACCTTCCGCTGTGAGTCC